TATTCACACCTGAGAAAAAACGGAAAACATTTGTCCGAAAGCGTTTTGAGCCGCATTGAATAGAAGTACTAAAGTAGTATTTATTCTTACATTAGTTAGCTCGTAGCGAGCTTATGATGCCATAAAGAGAGACGTTGTTTTCCTTTATTTTTATTACACGCGCAATATACTTCGTGCGCACTCGTGGCAATAAATTTTGACATTACTTTCAAGCTGGGCGAAAACATTCCTTCCAGTATAAAGCTGGAAGAAAATTACGTCGAGGCTTGATAAAGATACGTTCTTAAACGACATCGCCGCATCATATTCGTTTATATCGTGTACGTTCGCAACATAATCGTTATCATTACTGTTTCCCGTCCGTTTATTTTCTAACTGACGCCAAGTTTATAGATTCGTCGTCTAGGTCATATTTGATTTCGAGAAATCATAAATTTTCATCTGCTGCGTTAACGCACGTCCGTTCAGATTCGTTCGAATGTAGCTTTTAGAGAATAAGGTGCTTCGTAATACTGTGGAAATAAAACCCGCGATTCTCTCTTCGTTCCCTCGAGAATAAAATTATAAATATCAGGTGCTGTGCTCATGGGATAAAAACTAAATTAAAAATTACAAGTAACACATATGTCCCCTCCATAACTTTGCTTAAATTAAATTATTAAACAAGAATTCCGTTTTACGTAAAATTAAATTTGAAATTGTGAATATCTCACGTCCGAAAATGTTTAAAAATTAAAAAATTTAATATCTACGGGTTGAATATCGTTTTCCTAGCTTCACGAAAATAGCTTTATCTTTACTCAAATTAACGTAATAAAGTTTGAGGTAAATGGCGACGACGAAGGGAGGAGAAGGTGGCTAACTTCTTTATTATAATCGGAAATTACTCGGCGTGACGAAAAGATTGCTTGCGGCTGATAAAGGAGAGAGAGAGAGTGAGAGAGAGAGAGAGAGAGAGAGAGAGAGAAAATAAGTTAGAATATTGGAGAGTACGAAGGCAGCGGCAATTATCGAGTGCGTCATTGTAATTGCATCGAGAGTCGAGATTAGATTCGATGTTCAGAAACTGGTGGTTTCCTCCTTCTATATGTCTCTCTTTCTCTCTCTCTCTCTATCTTGCACAGTCTAGATTACGCTAATTGGTAGGTCACTGGCGAATATTAATTATCATTTGACTGCAGAATCGTGCAGCTACATCATGCGAGCTATCGCATTCTCGTACTATTCGATAAGCCCCGGTCAAATTTCCCGTACAAATTTCCATGCAAATAGCACACAGAACATGTCAATTGTTAACAAAAAGGGTTGAAATTCAACTTTTAAAATTACATTCTTCTGGATATAAAACACTCGCATCCTCTCTTCCCAACAAATATATGTGAAAAGAATTTGCATAAAAAGACTTGTGGGAATTTGAATTTCTCCTACATTTGAGTATTTTAAAAATCCTTTTTATGTTCTTAAATATTTGAGAAACGTTTCGAAATTATTATATCGTTTTGTCTTTTTATGATAATTTCATTATTACTGATTTTTCGTTGCATGTATTACGGTTTTATTAAATTCTTTTAAATGATAAATATAAAGGTATACGCGCGCGCGATGAAATCTTTTTATACAATAATATTTTTAGGTTATAATATCTTCTAGTTTTTCTTTAATATAAATTATTATTTTACACAGAATATATAAATATTAAGTTTTTATATTAATATATAAAAAGAGTACTTTGGGACGACCTACATGAGATAAAATTTTATAATTTTATGTACATTATTTTCTCTTAACATATTTTCTTTTCACATACGTAAAATTTTTCTGTGTATTTAAAAATACATCTTTATAAAATTACAATCGTACTTAAAATTCAATTCTTTCGCGTAAATTATAGGTCGCGCAAAGTGATATTTAATTTTTCTGTCGTTTGCCATTTCATTTATTTCACTTACATTTACGGTGTATTTACGGCGTAAAACGCGTTTATTGCTTCATCTATCCATCCAATCGGTGTTCTCTGATATGAGTTACATTTAATGTCATTTCACATGAACGATCGATAACGTAAATTTTGTACCCATTGGTATACATGTAATGCTGTACACGAGGGGGAGGAGGGGGGAGGAAATGAAGTGAATCCATTGCTGTGCGCTTGCATTCATATTACATAGAAGATGTGGTTCGCGAACTCACTCGTAATTTCGCCAATTCTGTCAATCTGATATTGGCTGGTCGCGGCCAAGCGAAATTAACGAGCGATTTGCTCGCGTTAATATAACATATCAAAAAGGAAAGGAAGAAATATACGAAGAAATATAAAACGCGTCGCGCACACGTGATCACAATAAAAACCGAATTTCAACTGTATGCATTTGTCATCAAGAAGTTTATTGCTCCACGATGGCAATTTGATATCGCGAAATATGTATCTCTATCGGTGATGTTTTTTTCCTCCAATGTAACGTGAACGTAAATCACGTGTCTACGTATAAATGTATCTCGTCTCGTATCTTTCATTTTCTTTAAATATACTTGACAGTGTTAAATATGTAGAGTTGAGAATGTATTTAAAATATTTTTATTTGAAACAGTTTTTGCAATACAAGCGCATTTTATATTTTGTATTTCAGCGGAGCACATGAAAGTATTACTTTGTAATTAAAATAAAATTTTAAGTTTTTTATACTTTGTAATTCAAATAATAATAACATTGAGTGTCAATCTTCGTATTTGAAATACAAAATATAAAATACTTTCAATCTTTCGGTATTAATATAATGAAATATAAAATACAAAATATTTTTATGTGCTCTCATGATATACAAAATAGGTACAAAAAATTTGCATGTGTTCCGTTAAAATGCATAATACAAAATACAATTTGCCTTGCAAATACTGTTTTTCAAATTAAAGTATTTCAAAAATACATGCCAGCCTTGGATATATGACATTGCACATCACTGATTAATCTAACATTATTATCCACAATATTTTACTTCAAATATCAAAGATATAATCGAATCCATGCACGGGAGATTAATCGACTCTTTTTTCCTCTTTTTTAAAACTATTTCTTTTAATATGAAATTAAAGTATTGTATTAGTGCATAGCTTTAATTTCAACAGTTGATTATATGCGGACTTTAATCGCTAATCAGTCACATTGTATGATTTTCCCATCGTGTTTGTCTGTCGTGAAATCGAATATATGTCAATCGTGAAATCAAACATTAATTGGGATGCAGTGAATTATTATGGCAGTCCGAATCGCTATTTAAACCCGCCATGGTTAACCGAATTGATGTCATCTTGTTCATTAATAAGAAGCGAAAAAGAAAATTATGAAAGCAATAAAAATATTGATACGGTTGTTATATAATCATGTTTGTATATATAATATCGGGAAATTCAGGTTTTTGGGAGTAGATTGGCAATTCTGTGGCACAAAATTAACCTGTGTGCGTGAAAAAGTATTTTAATAACCCTCTCCTCTCCGCCATGCCTCCTCTCCATGATCAATCATACAAAATAAAATAATGTTCGTATATATCAGTGAGAGAATCAATAGCCCGTCGATGAATTACAAACGTTCTATTTAATCGGCTTGCAATGCTCATCGGAAGTGCGCGGACATTCATTGGGAAAGGAAAAATGCACCCGCCTAAAGTTGACAAATAGTTTCAATTACAAAAATAGGCAAACTAAACTCGCGGCAATTAATGATACTTTAGGTCAATCGCAATGAGAGAAATTGGTGCTTAAAGTAAATTATTCTACCTCGATTGCTTTAATGTATACGATATTTTGCACTGCTTCTTTTTTCTTTTAACAATTGCCAGATACTGTGCGTTCTAAAAAATAAATTTTGCGAGATTTGATATTTCAAGATTTTACATGTATTTGTGTTATATAATATAATAATATTATATATAATAGTAGTATTAATAATAGTAGTAATAAAAGAATATAAAAAAATTTATATATTATTTGTATTATATAAATTTTTATATTCTTTTAATAACGTTCTTTTCAGTAGTAATGAACGAAAAAAAAGATGCGTCTGCTGATTAAAGCATTTCTCCGCATAATATTGCTGTAATTATGCAAGTATAATGTCCGACGATGAGTTTATTTTATTTTTTTTTTTTAATGGCTGCGCTTTTTACAGACACAATTCGCTACAAATTGTCTATATATAATATCGATAATATATAATATCGATCTGGAATTTCTTTTCATGAGATAAGAATCGATCGACCTGAAAGGCGACGAGATGAATTCATCGCGCGCCGATTAAAGAGCGAAGAACGGAATCAGCTCTTTTTGCATGCTTTTGCATTAGAGTATTCGCGTGCTCATCTTTTCCAAATGAATCGAGCTCGAATACGATGTATTCGTGTTGATAAGTAACGCTGGTTGTATTGCATTTACAGACCGTACCATCTCGGAAAATTCTCTTGAAAAAAACGGAGACTCCTCCGCATTAATTTCGTGCTTACAACAAATTTATGCAGCATTGCGTTATATTAACTCTTATAGATATATGTTGCGTTATAATTTTGCAACAGAATATTACAAGATTATTATACTTACTACTGAATGTATACTTGAGAGTTATTTGTATTATTTATTATAAAATATGAACGTAAAATTAAAATAATTAACGAGATTTTTACGTTATAGCTGCATTCCTCAATTTTTAAAAATATATATTATACTTTTTATATAGTACAATAATGTATTATGCTTAAGATTTTTAATAAATTAATTAGTAATTTACAATCTTCTTCAGTCAATTTTCATTCTACGTGTCCCGATGTGCTATCGTTAACGAAAAAAATATTCCAATAAATTCTGCTGAATAAATTAATTATATTTTTAATTACCAATTATTTCAAACAGATTAATGTTGCACGCTTACGAATTTTAATTTTGACAGATTTACAAATTAAACGAACGAAAGAGAAACAGACACGAAATGAACGAACAAAATTTTTTTTCAGGAGCTCCTGAAGGCAAACTGTGGGGCAATATACCAGGTGGACCACTGCCACCAGAGCAACCACCACCGCCACCCCCTACAACTACAACGACGACGACAACGACATATAGGCCTTGGAGGACGAGACCCACCAGGCCCAATCACTATCCGGACGACGGCAGGCCTCGACAACCGGGTCGTTACCCACAGAAACCCGACTATCGGCCGCACAAACCCCATCGACATCATACGACATGGTCGACGACGACGACGACAACGACAACGATGAGGCCCACGCCAAGGTTTAGACATCGATGGACTCCACCACAGCGAGAAGACGTGCCCGACAAGTGCGACACAAGCTACGACGCCATCAGCATCATCCGCAGAGAGGTTTTCGTCTTCAAAGGACGAGTAAGCAATCAAATTTCAAAAAAAGAATAATAAAAAATTATGAAAAAATTTGCTGTATCTCAGAACGATATGATAATGAGCCTTTTAGGCGCTATATTATTTCTCTTTATCGCAAGGAAAAGAATTTCGATATCTACTTTCTAAGGGCAAAAGAAAGTGCGCTTAGCACTTTTATATCTTATCTTTTTAATTTCCGAGCATAAAATAAAATAATTCATGATACATTTGTGTATTTACATTGTCAATATTTAAAATCTTACGTTTAAAGTAATTAATTATTACATACATGTACATTTATATAATATATCTTGTATTTTACAATTTAAATTAAACGTGTAATAAATTTTCTTATAATTTCTGAGAAAGATAAATAATTAATAAAGTTGGAAACTGTATACTAAGAAATTCTCTTTGCTTGAATCCGTATTGCAGTATCTATGGCGAATAGGCGATCACGGGATCTATGAAGGATATCCGGCGGAGATCACGAGGTTATTCAATCTGCCATCAGGAATCGATCATGTGGACGCTGTGTATGAGCGACCGGATAAGAAAATAGTCTTCTTCATTGGTCGCGAGTACTACGTCTTCAATGCCAACAATCTGGAACCGGGTTATCCAAAACCACTTACATATCTGGGGTTGCCAGCTTCCTTGGAGAAGATTGACGGCGCCATGGTGTGGGGCCATAATGGCAGGACCTACTTCTTCAGTGGCTCCATGTATTGGAGGTGATTTCTCAAGTCGAATTTATACTCTCTCATTTATTATTGCTTAGAGTTCATTATAATTCTAGAACTCTTCAATTTCGGTACAACGATTTTTGTCTGATATTAAATAAAAAATGATCTGAACTGAAATGCGTTTCACATCTCTTCGGACATAAAATGAAATTTGTGCACTTGTAATCCGATTCACGTTGGACTCCTACTCTTTTTAATCCATATAAATAAAATGTAATTCTCCAATTTAATCTTCTGCTCCACAGGTTCGACGAATCTGTTAATTATGTGGAACTCGATTATCCCAGAGATATGAGCATGTTCGCCGGCGTTGGCAATGACATCGATGCCGTTTTTCAATGGAAAAATGGTAAATTTCACTGACATTCACGAAAAAAAATAACTATTATAAATACAGTTATATAAATATTTATTTTATTCAGACAATTTATTATGTATATATTTATATATGAATAAATTTTAATTACTTTTAACGCCAAGTATAATACATTTTTAATATAGAAATAATCTATATATTTTCAACATAAGAGATAATAAGCAACTATACATATATAGTTTCTTAATACACAACTTTTATTTTAATTCTTGATTCTTCTAACATTTTATAAATAATTCTCTATGTATAACTTTGTCTATCGACTTTCTATCATAATACTTCCTTCTTTTCGACAGGTAAGACATACTTCTTCAAAGGCAAGGGTTTCTGGGAATTTGACGATCTCAGAATGAGGGTTGCGCACGAAAAACAAAAATTGTCGGCGCCGGTCTGGATGGGTTGTTCGCCACCGGAAGTGGAGACTAACGACATCGAGACTAACCTACCTAGGAAATCGAGCATTGTCTCGGCTTCCGCCACTGTCGCTACGGGAGAAATCACATCGATATTTGTCATGATCGTAGCGAGTTTCGTCATGAGGATAATATACGTGTAAAAATAGAGGTAATTATTGCTATTGTATTCATTAATTTTTAAAGAGTGGTATAATTAAAGAAGAAGCTTTAAGATTAATATTTCTAACAACGTTGATTAGTATTAATTTAGAATTTAAGATGTCATAAAATATGTAATCATTATAAAATGAAAATTATACCTATAATGTTATGCAGTTAGTATAAAAATAATTAATGAGATATAGAATTTAGTACAAGTTTTTAAATAATTTAAAGCCGAGTATATCATTTGTAACTTCATTTATACATATATAATTGTGTATAAATGGAATTATCATTCCATTTATAAAGTTTTACAAAATTTCACATGGTCCGAGTAAACACTAGCAGTTAAATTTTAAATGCATTTAAATCAAGCATTTCAAAAGTCAGAACAGCAGCTGTCATGTTTTTCTATCTTCTTGTGCTTTCAGATTATATAACGTACATGTCCCTTCCAACTGATGATATGCAACGCAAAGCATTTTGTACCTCATATATGGGAATTTCTCGTGCGAAATACGAATACCAGAAAGTCAACCGGATTCTTAAAGCGTGGACGTCGACAGATCGGCAAACACCGGAGATGGAAGACCAACTGTTCGTATATATCGGTTGGAGTTTCAAAGGAATGCCTGCGGCACGGATGGATCACAGCTATCGGAATCGATCTCGTCATTGAGCCTTCCGATGGAGAGATCGCGATAGCAGTACAAACGAAGTTCCAAGAATGATATCGAACTAAGTCACGAAGCTACGTTTTCAAAGAAGATATAAAAATGGCGACGAATTATAACATTTTAAAATATATGTGATATTATACAAGGAAAAATTTTTTCTGTATATCTTTTACATATTTTTTACGTCGATGATAAAATTGTATTGACATTTAATTTTCTCTTATAAAGTATGTGACTTAGGTCCATATCATCAATCCTGGAATAGATCGCGCTATCACGCTGCGCAGGAGCATATTTTTGTATACTGCACTTTACACGACCGCATTTACATACAAACTAATTAACTTAAGACGTAACTTTTTTATATCGCATAACGGATGAGCGACGGGTCCTCGAAGATGCGAAAGGAAACGAGATTCCTTTGAGAGTATTTTACAGACAATTTTGCGATAATTTATGGACAATTTATCACTGCCGAAAATCCATCCAACGTTTTTCGATACTCTTTTTACAGATTTATAAATCGAGATAGGGATCATCCTCAGTCATATATCCCTTTCAAGGACCAAAAAATTCCGTGATCACGTCCTTCTATAAATGACGCGCTTATTAGTTGAACTGTCGAATCGACAATCTCAAAACGATAAAATTAGTCGATTCCGACAAAACACATTTTATATAAATATTGTATTAATTATTGATACCATATAATTTAGCAAAAGAGGACACGGGCAAACGCAGTGTCACCAGTTTTGTAAACTGTGATATTTATATACCGCGCGCGATCAAGTAGTTAGTGTAATATCAAGGAAGTAGAACAGAATCAATTTCGCAGATTTATATACAGCATCGGTGTATCTAAGATATTTTGCATAGCGAACTTTGCGAGCGTACTTCCTGATTTGTTTTAAGCTGAATTCTTCCCAGCATGAGATTTTTAAGCGAATAGAAGTCTCAAGAGTGAAAATAAATAATGAAATCTCACTCCACATTTAATCTTGAGTGGATCTTAGTTCGACAGAATTTTATAAATACTAAAGCTTCAGTAACTAAGAGAATTTAATTAATAAAAAATTGTAAGTGAACGGTGAAGGTGATTGCTAATTAAATTTTTGTAAAAAAAAAATGATTGTAATTTTAATATCGCGTATCGCAAATTTTCTCTGCGAAGTTTATAGTATTTGTATTCCCGACATACACCTCTGTGTGTGTATATATATATATATATATTCGCGCGTATTGCAGAGTGTACTATATGTCCGTAAAGCGCGCAGCATCAAAACGAAGACAAACAGAATAAATGATATTATATTTGTTTTTTCGATTAACTCAACAATTTTGTCTTCTAGTTGAGTATATCTTTGTTATGAAGATGCAAACGCATT